TACTCGTATATTGAATTCCAATTGTCAAGGGACCTTTTAAGTGCACGCCAATGTGTACACGGAACCTTGTTTTTTCGTCTCATCCAAATGACTAGACAGCTGTCCTTGTCAGACCCTCCGTCCTGCATCACTGACAAGGGAGAACCACGCCAGAAAATCTGGATGAACTTTCTCGGCCAATGCAAGGATCGAACACCCAACCTCCAGGCTAGCGAGCCCGCGTCTCACCCACTTAGCCACCGTGCTCCCCAGGCAACTTATTTAGTTTGAAAAAAAACTAATCTTCCATAAGTCCCTCCTTAGCTACAAAGACATATATTGGTAGTATCAGGATAAATGGCTAGAATGTATTTTGATTCCCTGGTTGTACATGGCAAAGAGTAGGATGGATCGCCTGTCCAACCTCATGGGTTTTCTCCGGGTCCTTCGGTTTCCTCCCACTGCTTAAGATCCCTACGCCCAAGCGAATTGTTGAAATAAAACTTAACCATGTGTTAGTCTCGAAATAACCTAGTTTGTGTCGAGTGGATGTTAAACCACATCTATCTCTCTCATGCTGTACATCTGAGCTCTGTAATACATGTATGTTAGATAAAATAATATTCTACCATACATACAGAATTATATAATAATAATAAATGATGACTTCTATAGCGCTAAAAAAAATGCACAAAAACTGTGCTTGTAGCACATAACAAAACAATGTCTACATAAATAGTATTTAGCTCTCAGTTATAACTTGTTTAAAAATTTCTTCAAAGACGATAATGTGATGCAAGGGCGAGGTAACGAATTTACATGTTTAGTCAAAATATTCTACCATAATGACTGGAATTATAACATCTTACTGTACAAGTTCATAGTATGTTAGACAAAATATTATATAATGCACTTTTGAAAAACTAAATAACATGTGATTATTCTTGAGATGGATAATACATTATTTATAGTGAAATGGTTGATAAACCTGCCATTTTGTATAAACAGGTTTGTCATATATTCTCTGGTATTTGAATAAGGAAGAAGTGAATAAAGATCTGTATGTTAAAGACAGGAAGTAATATAAATAACTGAATAACATAAATACATGTCATATTGTACACCTCTCTCGCCTACTAGGACACATTAGGCTCTGAGTTAACAAAGCATTCTTTGACTTTACTTCAGAATTTACTCAATTTTCAATCACTATTCATGAGAAATTTCTTTGATCCAGAAACATAAATGTTTTCACTAAACAGTTTCTTAAAGATGTAATTGATACATTAAAACTACAGAAGTTTTTTAAAGGGCTATATTTTTGTTAAAATAAGTCAAACAATTTTGAGTAAATTATTAAGTCTGAGAATGCTATGTGAACAAGGGGCCTAGTCCTTACTTACACAACTAGCCCTTATAACATCGCAAAATTTACACGACTAGTACATGTATATAGCCCTTATAACATTGCAAAACTTACACAACTAGCCCTTATACAGGGCTTGCCACGAGACGCGAGTAATTACTCGCGCCCACACTACGCTTGCATAAAACCAAATTTACGTGAGTGATTACTCGCGCAAATATAAAAAATAATTTAATCAGAAATAATGGAATATCATAATAAAAAAAGCCGTAAACAATTTATATGCCTTCATATTGATGCACTAGTGCGCACGCGGCGTGTCTTTCCAGTGCCACCTGTTGTTACTAAAAATACTTTGAGACGCGTACTGCCAGGCGGTTTTTAAGCGGATGTCCTTTGCCGTGTCTGGATAATCAAAAATTGAGCGGATGTTGTCGTTTCTATAGCAATTCTTTCGATCCCGCATCTTTTCTGCAAATTGATGTGATTGAAATTGTTTTGCCTGTTCTTTTACCTTTCTAAGCTTTACCCGAATCCCCTCAGCACGCCAACGACGGCAAAGGGAAATGGCTTCTCACGCACATCATTCTGCGTGAGTAAATACATGTACTCGTCTCACTCGCGCAAGTCTATATTTGCGTGAGTAGTCATCTACTCGCCTCCAATTTGCTCGTGGCAAGCCCTGCTTATAAGATCGCAAAACTTACACAACTAGCCCTTATTACATCACAAAATTTACACAACTAGTCCTGATAACATCTTAAAACTTACACAACTAGTCCTGATAACATCGTAAAACTTACACATAAATGGATACTCATACAAAATGTAATATAATAATAATATACCTCATTGCTATAGGTTGTGGGGGAGGCTTTGTTGGGATAGAGAGAATAAAATGAAGTTTAATGTCTACCCTAAACAAACTTGGTCATTTTATTAAGAAGATACTTGTATGGAGCTGTTTAAGGAAACTGGAGAATCAGGAGAAGACCCATTAGGTTAGAATAGGCACATTGTCACATTAACAACACAAAGGCCTAGTTCTTTTCAGACAGGATGACGTCATGATGTTAATGTCACACCCGGTTTCCTTTCATTAATGATATTATAATAAGATCAAAATTTAGGCTACTATTTTAAAACTAAAACAACAGTTCTAATTATAGAAAGCAATGAGTGTACTTGTATTATTTTGCTTAACATTGACTTGCAACAGTAATGGTGGTTTGCCTTCTGTCCGCAATACAAAATTAACCAACAGAGAAATTTTGTACATGTACATTCAAACGTTTCTGTTTTTACTGTAATTTCTAATCAGTTATGTTCAGCGAAGAACGCCAAGAGTGCAAATTGAACAGTCTTTTGTTTCTGGTTATTCCAGTCTACTCTGGTAATCTTTCCTAGTGGGATATGTTTAGCCTTGTTGATCAAGTCGTTCATTACAATTGGTGCTCGCAAGCATTCTGGCATGCGATTCGTGTGCCAAGTTTAAAATTTTTATTGTGTCTAAAATATTGGATACCAGAAGCCCATCTTTTCACATCAATGTTGATTTAAATTTACCAATGAATCGTGTTTGCAATGTCGAAGACTGTGGATGAATGCCAATAAAACTAAACAATATATAAGGATCCACAGTCCTTACATGCAGATCAATGGCTTAATAAGTGCACTTTAGATCATAAGGTCTGTGTAGTTTGGTTTTGAACGCCCCACAAGACATGACAAGGATTAGGGTTGCCCTTGTGGGTTTTCTCAGGGTCTTCCAGTTTACTCCGACAGCTATAAAGACCCTACATGTACATGCAAGCGACTCTTTGAAATAAAATTAACCAATGTTACTGTTAGTCCTGAAATCACCTAATCTGGGTCAAGAGTAGGTTAAACCCCATCTTGCTCTTTGTACACAGTGTATTAGCTTCTATCTATAAGCTATATAAGAAACAAATAAAAATTTTCCCCTGCAAGATTTTTAAATGTCATTTTATTTATATTTTAACATTTCACACATTAGTAAGATATTCACCTTTAGTAAGATGTCAACACTTGAAAAATATGTCGTAGGTGTCAAAACTGACTGACAAGTAAATATTCAAATGACAAAAGGTATTTGTCAACAAGCTTATCAACAATGTTTTATACGACATTAGGTACATGTAACTGTATAAGATTTTCGAGAATACCTGATGAAACTACTGGATTATTTGAGAGATTAAGATACCGTAGCTCATCCCATAGACAAAGGAGGAGAACTGTCTGGCAAAATACAGACATAACAAACCACAAATAAGTGTTAGCCTACCTACATGTATATGTATATATACTTCATTTAATTAATTTGAAGATAGTTAGCCTACATGCACATAAATAGTCCTTAAAATATATACATTGTTCCGAACATATTTATCGGGTGGTTAATTCCAAATTTGGTATATATGCAAAGTATAGACGGCCAATCTTACTAGACACATACTGTATCTGAAAAACACCCACAGGGCAAGCACTGGGCAAAAATGTCAGGGTATCACTGAACTGGCAACCCGACAATGTCTGCCAGCTTATTGTGCGCTAGCTTGATTGAGGGAGCTGATGTTATTTCTGGATCAAATGGTAAGCAGTTTTAGGAACATTGAGGGGTGTCAACGTACAAAAGTTGAGAGAAAATAATTAAGAATTTACTTAGTCCTCAATATGTACATGTATGGTAAATGGACAGTAAGTAATGAAAAATACATTCTGAAAAATGGACCCTCCCTCAATGTAGTTCGGTGACAAACATGGCTTCTAACAACAATTCATTTATACATGTAGCTTGAGGCATCTCCCGAAAAAGACAAAGTTTTGAGAGGGATTTGAAGCAAATTTTTGATAGATTAATTATTTTGAATATGTTTTTAGTCCAACTATATCATCATATCACACAGTTTGTACGTGGGAAAGTATCCTTAACTAATTGGAAGATAATTCGCCTACATGTATCACTATATTTCTTTAATTGGAATATAATTAATTGGAATATAATTAATTGGAATGTAATTAGCCCACACTGATATACTTAAGATAGTTAATATAAAGATAATTAGCCTACCAGACGAAAGATTTCTTTAATTAATTTGAAGATAGTCTATGATAATTAACTTAAAGATAAAGAATCAACCATCCATTATTTCATCCAATACAAACAACACGATGATTATCACTTCGAAATCAAATTTAATTTTAAACTGATCAGGTCTTTTTTTTTGTCTAAATACTTTTACTGGGTTTAGATTTAGTGCAAAAATGTCATTGACTTCACCATTACATCACTTCCTATTTTAAAGAACACCTAAAAATTATGGCAGAATTTACCTCCAAAGACTAACAAAACTCGGATATCGGGAGAGAGAGAGAGAGAGAAATGGGGTTTAATGTACACTCGACACAAACTAGGTCATTTCGGGACTAACATGGTTCAATTTTATTTCAATAATTCGCTTGCACGTGGAATCTTTAGCACTGGGAGGAAACCGGTGGACCTGGAGAAAACCGACGAGGTCGGACAGGATAGGCAACCCTACTCCCTGTCACATACAACCTGAGAATCGACACCAAACCAGTTGACTCAGATGTTGGACCAATGGTGTTATAACAGCAAATCTCAATTAATTACCTTGGCTAATCGAGCTCTTTTGACCAAATCATTCAATTTTCTCAGAGCTGAATGACTGGGTAATCTCTGTAGATCTTTAAATAAATCCATTTCTTCTGCCTCGAAAAAAGCACGATTGGTTTCTCGCTGTAATGGCTGATCCCAGAAAGATCCCATGTACACACGGGGTACCTCAGTGAAATTCATCACTTTTCCCAGAGCCCACATTAGTGCACCGTAAACTCGAACCAATTCCTGATCAGTCACTTCATCGGCTTTATTTAGAACAATTCGTATTTTATCGTCATATTTCTTAATCGTGTTGATAACATCCGCAAATTCATCCGAAATATCAAGTTTGTGAGCATCAAATAACAAAATAATTCGATCCACACGTTCACCTAACCAATCTACAACTTGACAAAAATCGTAACCACGATCGCGACGTTGCTTTTCTCCAGAGAGGACTCCAGGCGTGTCCAAGAAAGTGATTTTATCCAGAACAATGTTCTTCATCGTAGCAATTTGAAATCTATTGAGGAAGGCATTACCAAATTTGGTTAGTGGTTGATATTGATGGTTTTTATCTGCGACTGCAGCATTCCCGGGCGCAACATCTTCAACGTCACCTTTCATAATCGCAATGAATCGATCAGTGGTTGGTTCCGGACCAATCCGCATGCCTGGATAATCCTGTTCTAAGAGATAACGAATAAAAGTTGTCTTGCCTACAGACTTCTGTCCGAGCAGCAGGACCATTGGCTTGGCATCGAAATCGGCATTGTCTAGAGGCGGAGAATGAAAATCCTTAAAATTATACAAATCTTCGAGCGGACGAAGACGCTTGTTGTACAGTTCTTTTACTCCTTGAATAACCGATGCATACTGAGGTTCCTTTGGAACTTTATTACGTTGCAACCACTTCTTCATTTTAAACTTTTTGCTACGAACAATCACTCCTCAATTAATTCTTTAACATAAATATTTCTGTCTTCCTACACATCAAATTCAGTTCATTATCTACACTATTTGTTTGTCCTGCTACTGTTCAAACCTTGCCAACCACCAAACGAAATCACAAACCCTGCCTCTACAGTCATTAAGACCTGCAGTCGAGATACTAGCAAGAAATTCCACCTATATCATTTGCTTGGTAAAAGCCCAAAACATGAAGAGAAAAATAGACAGAATCACCCAGTCTTACATACTTTTGGCACTCAGCAAAAGAGTTTTTTTCTGTTACCCAGTCATACATTAGATTATGAGATGTTGCCACCTGGTTATCCAGTCTCCTTTGTAATTGATATGAGTGCAGTCAAAAAGGTAGTAGGCGTCAAAGACTGAGGTAATAAAAGTAGCACAGTTGGTAAAAGAGATCTGTTAGAGTCATTTAGCTACCTTCTAAACACTAAGCCACTAAATGAGATAAAAATATGCATATAGTCTCATACAAACCAGACCTAAATATTAACACAACTTAGCACAAAATATGTGAGTATCTAGTTCTGGTACACAGATATTATATAGGTAATAAACAGCTACATAGATTTATATATATACTTCACTCTACATGCCTCAGATAAAAACATTAAACAATTTATAAGTACACTCCTATATATCATACGTGAAGCCTAGGTTTTATTCTCACTATAATAAACTCATGTCCAAAAGCTAATGTCAATCTACATAACATGTAAACAAAAGAGAGAGAGAGAGAAATTTTTTTTCATACAAACGCACAACAATAATTTTGTTGTATCTGTTGAGAAGAGATGGGGGTTAATGGCTGAATGGTTAGCAAAAATGGAAATAATGCACCTGTGACTGACAATGATAGGCACAAATTCAAGCTTTGTCAGGCACAAAACCTCTGGTGCCTGTCATTTTGTCCGGCACTGATTTGTCTTTTTTATTGATATTAATATTAATAATACATGTCCGACTCACTAAGTTGAAAATGTCAGGTACTATTTCATCAGTGCCTGATATTTTGTCAGGTACATCTAAAACTGTTATTTCCAGGCCTGATGGTTAGCACGTGCGTGTTTTATCATAAGGTCTGTCATTGAGTCAGCTGGCGTGGTTTTGATTTCCCGGTTGTACGTGACAAGGAGTAGGGTCGCCTGTCCATCCTCGCAGGTTTTCTCCTGGTTCTCTGGCTTCCTCCCACTGCTAAAGACCCCTACGTGCAAGTGAATTATTGAAATAAAATTGAACCATATGTTAGTCCCCAAATGACCTAGTTTGTGTCGAGTGGACGTTAAACTCCATTTATTTCTCTCTCTCTGTTGAGAAGTGGCATCAGATGTTTAAGAAAGAGAAAGCATATTCTGCCTCAAGTATGACGCCAACCAGTCAAACAGACTGGCATATGGCATGCAGTGTGCTGTGAGGAAAATTTTGTCTTGGCAGTGGCATTACGGCAAAACCTTATTTCGATCTCTCAAATGTGCTGCACTTTGTTGTTTTGTCTGTATTAAGACAGTTTTCCATGCCAGACCTTTTGTTCTTCGGAATCAATAAAGGTTTTGTTCTTCGGAACCAATAAAGGAAAACCAAGCAGGAACTTTCTCGTTAAGACAACTCAACAACACCTCCTCCCCACCCCCACATACAGAAAGTAGCTATATACATGTATACATACATGTATCCTATCTTCAAAAGAATTTTTAGTAGATATTTTTGCCTCTAATTAAATAGGAAAAGATCTCTTAGAACCAAAACTAACTTGGCTTTTGTCCATTAAGTTCAGTGAGCTAGAGGTATATTTATCATTGAAGCATATCTAACAGTTTCTTGGCATCTATATAAATAACAGCATGTTGAGTAAACAGATTTTTACCTGACTTGCACAATTCTTATATTATCAATATCTTGGAAATCAGACGATAACTTTATCCTTTTTATCATTCATATAAGATGATATTTTGTTTGATAATACTGTAGGCTTTTAGTTAAAATAATTTAAAACATTTTACACCATGCTAAAATTATGTTGAGATCTCCTGACTATACATCTTAGCAAAGCCCTTACCTTACCTAAGAGAGAGAGAGAGAGAGAGAGATGGGATTTAAGGTCTACTCGATATAAACTAGGTCATTACTAGGTCATTTCCGGACTAACATGGTTTAATTTTATTTCAATAATTCGCTTGCGCGTAGGGGTCTTTAGCAGTGGGAGGAAACCGAGGTTGGACAGACGACCCTACTCCTTGTCACATCCATCTGAGGAATCAAAACCACGCCAGTTGACTCAATGACAGACCTTTTGATACAGAGCGCACATGCTAACCATACGGCCATCCACCACCACCCCTTACTTTACCAGGAAAAATGAAATGGGCTTTTAACGTCCTACTCTTATATCGAATTCCAACTGCCAAGGGATCTTTTACATACATGCCAATGTATACACAGAACCTTGGTTTTTTGTCCCATCCGATCGACTAGACAGCTGTCCTTGTCAGGCCCTATGTCCTGCACCACTGACAAGATGAAACCACGTCGGAAAATCCCGATGAACTTTCTTGGGCAATGCAGGGATTGAAATGAAATGAAATAAAATTTAATGTCCTACTGTTCTGCTGCACACTAGACTAGCAATACAGACTCGGGCAGACATTTTTACCTGACAACCACAGACAAATTTGGAAGAATATTTGAAAATTACTATATTGTGTAAATATTTTTATAAATGGTTGGCAAACTCAGGTAATGAATACTTGGGCGGAACCCCTAGTAACGATACTTCATCTCATTATTTCACAGACATTTTCTGTGCAAGGTCAAAAGAAATAACACGCATGGGATTTATCAGGAGTTCAATTTTGCTCAATTTATCGTTGACTTTTATTCGTAAACAATATATATAACACATCATACAATGTATCAGTATTCAGCTTGAAGGTGAGAAAATCTACAACATGGCTATATAGTCAATCACATTCTTCCTGAGTACATACATCGTATATCATTACAAAATAAATAATTGGTCTATTTATAGTTCAATGTGTCAGGGGATAGAAATGAAACTAGAGATGCTAGAACTGTACACAACCCTTAAATATTAAAGATACATTATTGGAGATTAGATAAAGAACTGGCAGATCGCAGTATAATTATAGTTAAAAACTAGATAATGTAAAGGGAACTATCTAAAAATTTCAGTTAAATTGATCCACTCTGAACCGAGAATTTAACGATTGAATTTTAGGCCTAGCCTCGATCATCGTTACTAAAGTCGGTGCAATAAAAAAAAAATAGTCTTGATTATCCATTTTTTGGGCAGCAGATTGGATTCCAATCCAGTAAATATCGCAGGCTAGCAATGACATCAAGAGTTGATTATGGTCTGGATAAGTTAATGTCTAATTAATAATTTAGATAACATTTCAGGCCTAAAGAAAGACCTGCAATAGACAGATTTAGTTCTTGCATACTGTATGTTTAAATCAATCTCATATACATGTACCCTATAGATGCTAGTACTGTACACGACCCTTTAATATAAAATACCTCTTACGGTATATTCCCTATACATGTAGATGCCAGTTCTGTGCACATGCATGTACATGTAACAACTAAATATAAAATACATGTACATCCTATAGTACATAATTATAAAGAATATCCTATAGTAATGTACATGTACATAACCCCTATATTAAATAAACCTTATATACCCTATAGATGCTAGTACTGTACACAACCCTTTAATATAAAATACCTCTTACGGTATATTCCCTATAGTACATCATTATAAAGAATATCCTATAGTACATATACATAACCCCTATTTTAAATAAATCTTATGATCTTATAGTACACAAACCTTAAATACTAACGCAAAAATGGGGATTGTGCATGACAAAATCTATCATGGTTCTATCCACTCAAACTGTATTGACGCAGTGCATGGAACATGTATATTTAAACTATTACTACCAATGCAAATGTTTAACCATGGACCTTATAAAACAGGACCATAGTTTAAGGCATGTGGGCTACATCATAAGGTCTGTCATTGAATCAATTGGTGAGGTTTCGATTCCCTGCTTGACAAGTACATGTATGTAGTACATGCAGGGCCGCCTGCTTAGCCTTGTGGGTTTTCTCCAGGTCCTCTAGTTTCCTTCCACAGCTAAAAAAACCCATACGGCAGCAAATTATTGAAATAACCTGAAAACAGATGTTTATATAGTCCCGAAATGACCAACTCTGTGTCTCATTGCTACAAATACATGTGTACATGTACATATATGTATATTTATCAAAGAATGTTTAACAATGAATGCATATATTAAATGTCACCGCGTCACAGAGTAAAATATAATTATAAACAACTTTAAATATCAAAGTTCAATCCCAAGATTTCTCTAACAAATTTCTCCATTTGTGTCGACCATATGTCCAGCTTTAAAATGTATTATCACATTTTATATCCATTAGCTTAGAAATGTTTGGACCAATTTGTGAGTTTAAAATAAAATGGGGTTCGACATACATGTATTGTCAATAATTTCTGCAGCAGCCCATGCGTTGTTATATGAGGTGAATTTTGCCATGACAACAGCAGAACGGCCATACTCCTAAATTTCAATATTAACGGGTGGGTGAGCTTTAACATGCTACATCTACACGTACATGTACCAACAGAATACACGAGGGAATCACATGGCTAAGTGGGTAAGACGCTGGCTCGCTAGCCTGGAGGTCGGGTGTTCGATCCCTGTATTGGCCAAGAAAGTTCATTCAGATTTTCCGGTGTGGTTTCCCCTTGTCAGTGATGCAGGACGGAGGGCCTGACAAGGACAGCTGTCTAGTCGTTCGAGTGGGAAGAAAAACCGAGGTCCCGTGTACATATTGGCGTGCAAGTAAAAGATCCCTTGGCAGTTGGAATTCGATATAAGAGTAGGCCGTAGTGCCGCTGCCCTGGCAAAATTTCCCTCATAGCACACTGTATGGCGTATGCCCGTCTTCATTAGCCCAGGTTAGGAGCAGAATAGTAGGACGTTAAACCCCATTTCATTTCATTTCTGAATACATGAGCCCTCAGGTTCTCATCCAATTTGAAGGCCTAGACACTTTCACTTTTCCCAGCAGGTAAAATGTGGCTGGAAAATCCTGATGAACACTCTCTCTCAGCCAACCTTGAAAAAGGCCTTTGAGAGAAAGAGAAATGGGGTTTAACGTCCACTCGACACAAACTAGGTCAATTTTATTTCAATAATTAGCTTGCGCATAGGGGTCTTTAGCAGTGGGAGGAAAGAGAGAGAGAGAAATGGGGTTTAACGTCCACTCAACACAAACTAGGTCATTTTGGGACTAACATGTGGTTTAATTTTATTTCAATAGTGGTCTTTAGCAGTGGGAGGAAACCGGAGGACCCGAGAAAACCCACGAGGTTGGACAGGTGACCCTACTCCTTGTCATGTACAACCGGGTATTCGAAACCACGCCAGTTGACTCAATGACAGGCTTTATGATACAGCACGCACGTGCTAACCATTCGGCCATCCAACCCCCAAGCAATGGGAGGAAACGGGAGGACGCGAAGAAAACCCACGAAGTTGGACAACCAATAAAAAACAGGGGCGTAGATACATGTATGTCTACCTGTAGATCAATGACATTTCAATTAATCATTTTTGGACTGATATTCCTACATGTATTAGAGATTAGACTTTCACAATATTGTAGTTTTAAAGGGATTATTCCTATATTGGTAAATGACACATCAAGTCAATACATTTAAGTTTGGGAAAACGTGATAATTTCCAAAAAAAGGCGAATGGACCTTATGGATTAATCATATCTTAGTCTGTATTCGACTGAAAAGAAAATCATGAAGTTGAATACTGTGATATATGACGTTGCTGACTACATCCAGACACATCACAAATCAGTACTGGTCGATTAACATTGTAGCTAGTCTCCTTTAACCAGACTATTGATAACAAGGTCAATGAGCAGTGAGGTCTGGATAGGCAAGGCTAATAAAGTACTGTATTATTTACTTAGTAAACTAGGTATATAGTGGTTAAGTAAACAAAGATAAAATGTCACCATCCTCAACCTATTACTATAACCACAAACTATGGTATATAAACCACACTTTCAATCTTCACACCTGGCTAACCAAATGAAATCATTCTTCTACCTAATTAAACAAATCAGGTTCCATAACTCTACAGTCTTTGTGAAGGGGAGATAACTATAATACATCAGTTATTTCCCCCTGAATTCATTGTGAACCGTGAGGTGACACTTTTTGAAAGGGCCTAAGTGTAACTAGGCCTAAAATTGACATGAAAATTTGCATGCTTGTTCCGTGGTCAAATGTTTGATTAACGACTTTACTTTTTGATAGGACGTTAAAATTCTAAATTGGCTGTAATGAAGTTGTGTTCCGTTGTTGGTCCATATGCTTGTATGCTTGTACATGTATTTGTTATTTATAAAACACCTGCCGCAGGGCGGTCCAGGAGCAGAAAAAATAGAAATAAACAAATGAGAGACAGAGAGAGAGAGAGAGAGACAGAGACAGAGAGAGGGGTTGAATGTCCACTCAACACAAACTAGGTCATTTTGGGACTAACACATGGTTCAATTTTATTTTAATAATTCACTTACGCGTAGGGGTCTTTAGCAGTGGGAGGAAACCGGAGGATCTGGTGAAAACCCACGAGGTTAGACAGGCTATCCTTCTCCTGGTCATGTACAACCAGGGAATCGAAACCACACCAGTTGACTCAATGACAGACCTTATGATAGAGCGCGCACAATGCCAACCATTCGGCCATCCAACCCCCAAAATAAACAAATAATATTTGGGGCTTAATTGAACATGATAATACTTGTACCAGGACATGGTACCATAAAAATATTGTCACATGAATGTCTAACTGGGCGACTGTTAGCTGTGTGAATGCCTGTGTCCATTCATTCTGGTCGTTCGTCATTTGAGATGCAACATTGTAAGTAAGATTCAATTTTTATTAGCAAACCACCCTACATGTACATCTAGGATGTGTTCACTTACATTGTTAAACTTTTTTTTTTTTTTCATTTACATCAATTGTACTGGAATGCTAGATATGTGACACGAGACAAACCTAAATTCCAAATTGATTAATATGTAAAGGCTTAAGTCTTTGCATACACCAACCTTCCTCCCTCCCCTCCACACTCCTTCTACAACAGCTATTCTCATCAAAAATTGACAGTTTAGACTTATCATCAATCTTTATTCATGTACATGTATCGGTTTAAATTATTCAGATCTTTATTCAAGATTAGGAGACTTCAATTAAACATTGAAACATTGAAATTCTATACTGTTAAAATTACAATGACTATCTTTTGTTTACGGTACATTAGTTTATCACAGGTATTTTCTCATGCAAATCGGAATATTATAAAACCAAAAAAGAGATAAAAAGAAGGTATTTTTACGATGGTGGCAAGGTGACAATGATTATGTACCTTCTATGATAATCTGGGTCAACATAGTAATCCATGCATGAATCCATGTATGAAGGAGTCCTACAATTTTCTTTTGTACATGTACATGTATATATATGATTGTAAGTAAAAAAACAAACAACTAAATAATAAAGCTATTTAATTTGGGGAAGGGGGCGTTTTATCTTTTTATAAAGGTTTTCCTTCAATGCCTACATTTGAGATTTCTTGTAGCACATACATGTAGCTGATCAAGAGTTACACAAGTATTTGGGAAATTTGTTTTTCATATCACTACAGGCCTGGACTATACATGTACAGCGCATCCATTCACTTGAGATCTGATACATGCGCTTGTTGTTTGAGGTGTCTGTGTACATGTATATTGTGTCCTGTCCATCGGTTGGTCTTGTACATGGTAATTGTCTGTGTGTGGTGCGGACCCCCTGCACTTCACTTACTATTGCCTTGCACATTTGTACATGTACCGGGTATGTGAAAGTAAAATGGTACATGAAGGCCTGTATAATATACAACTAAGTACATGTAGGCCCAGTAAAAAATGGGGGGAGGTTAGGTCAAAGGTCGGATTCAATACATACCTTAGCTAATCTCGCTCTTTTTATAAGATCATTCAGTTTCCTCAGCGTGGCATTTCTTGGTAAACTTTGTAAATCTTTAAATAAATCTTGTTCCTCTAATTCAAAAAGTCTTCTATTTGAATCATGTTGAAGAGGTTGGTCCCAAAAGGATCCCAAATATACACGAGCTACTTCAGGAGTATTGATTACTTTCCCGAGGGACCACATCAGGGCCCCGTAAACTCTCATCAATTGTTGATGGTCAACCATGTCGGCTTTGTTCAGGACAATTCTAATTTTATCATCATAACCTTTTATGGCGTCTATTGCACGACGGAACTCGTCCGAAATGTCAAGTTTGTGCGCATCAAAGAGTAAAATTATGCGATCAACACGTTCTGCCATCCATTCTAAGACACCAGCGAAATCATACCCTCGATCAACTCGCTGCTTCTCACCAGATAAAATTCCTGGAGTATCAATTATAGAAATACTGTTTAAAACTGGATTGTTCATTGTCGAACATTGAAAACGATTTAGAAAGGCATTGCCAAACTTTGACATAGGTTTAAACTGTTTTTTGGGATCCACTACCAGGGCATTTCCAGGAATAATTCCATCCTGATCCCCATGCATGACTGTGATAAATCTGTCTGTAGTTGGCTCTGGTCCAATCCTCATTCCTGGAAATTCTTGTTCTAAAAGATATCTAATAAAAGTTGTTTTTCCTGTTGAATATTGTCCGATTAAAAGGATCATTGGTTTGGCATCGAAGTCGGGATCATCCAGTTGCGGTGAATGAAAATCATGGAATTTATACTGTTCCTCCAGTGGCAGAAGCTTCGATCGGTAAATTTTTTTCAGCCCCTCTGCCACGTTGGCGTAAACCTCCGGCTCCTTTTTACGCCTATCATCATTCGTTAACCATCTCTTCATTTTGTTTTCTCGCTGAGTTACCTGCTATCGAAATCTTCAAATCAAACTAGCACCAGAAACCGGCCTCGCCTGCTTCTGTCAATGCCAATATGGAGTAAGCGGAAGTGTGATGTCAATAAGAGTACTGCGCATGATATTTGACCTGAGTTGACCCAGCCCACGTGTCATCTTACGTCATTAAATGTTTTGGTTTTCAGCACGACAGCTGAGAGAAGAGCAGACAGCTTGTTCAAAAAACTACAGGGTTTCTCTGAAAGATTCAGTCGCCCGATTGCTGAATTGCAAATTGCATTTAACTGAGTGTGAGTATATTCATTGAGGTATTGGTTTTAGCTAGCTATTGAGGTGGAATGATCGAGTCAGTGAGTCAGACACGAATGTTGTTGAATGTACACATAACAGAACTGTCATGGCTGCAACCGCAAATCAACAAATGACGTATCATTGAACACACCCGCATTTCATAAGCGACACACCTGCCCCATTCACCCATGAATAAAAGGCAACTTAAGAAAACTAGTTGGCCTTCAACCAGGTGTGTTTTTAAATGTAAGCTGCTGCAGATATAATATATATACATGTAACCTTTCCTCCTGCCCTGGTCCTGGAATTTATCAACAAGGCCTGTGCTATTTTTAGCTACCTTCCTCATCCACTGCCATGAATTTCTAAAGAAATGTTTTATATTTCTTATTGTGGCAACCATTCTATTCAACAGTTAACTAAAGTAGAAATTTGAAAATTGTTCAAGTCCTGTTTTTAACAGATTCTTCTTCTGGGAAGAGGGGAGTATGTGTGTTTTTATTTTATGTAGGTCATACGGTATCTAAAAATAGTAATGATGGCTGTATGTACATGTTAATAATTTTTTTGTTATTTATATTATCATCATAGACATAGGTTACATATATTATGACCAGTTGTGTATTAGTCATTATATTGATTGCTAAGAGATTGAAGCTGATGAATTTTACATAAATATAAGCAGCTTATAGTAGTCACTGATCTTTAAACACATCATTTACATTTTAAGTAATAAATAAAAATGTTGCTGCCAAATCAAATGAATAGTTAAGTTTTCTTCCTTATTAATCGCCCTATCAGTGGATTGTGTGTCAAAATTATTAATATCTGGAAGAGATTCAGGGTTAATTAACGTCCCACTTTTGGTGTGCTGTGGGGGAAATTTTAACCAGTATTTTTGCCTACTCTTTGTTGAATTCCAACTACCAAATTTCTTTTATAACATGCATATCAAGAAATTTGCACTAATGTGTGACTAAACTAATCCATAGGTATATTTGGCTGCAAATGTCAAGATTGCAGAATTAGCTTCTCAGATCTCATCTGTGATATCACTATTGTGGAAGCGAACCTTAAAAAAAAACCAGTTCGATGTATTTTGATACATTGACATTGACTTCCTATACACATACATGTAGCTACATTACATGTATATTATTATAACAAATCTGAATTCTGATAGATTACAATATTGACACCTGACGTAAAGTGACATTCATCATAATTAATCCTTAAGCTATGTCAATATTACACTATAACTTGAAGAAGTGATTATCTTTCCCTGATTTGAGTGTATAGTATTATTGAAAAATCTCCACCTTTGTGGGTTGTATTTGATAATAGATCAACATTACTCAAATCAGGAAAAGATAATCACTTCTTCAAGTTGAAGTAGGATAAACATACTACTGTAAGTAAGCAATACTATACAGATGATACAGTATGTAAAGTAATGGGTTACATGTACATGTATATATTATTAGGTAATAATCCATACATGTAGCTGTGGATTATTTGTTAATTGGACAATAGTAATTAATGATGGGTCTATATTATTGATATCAGGCTAACTTAAAAAGAAAATATTTAAACATACATTATGCAAGAGGTAAATCTGCCTATTGCATGTCTTTCTTTAGGCCTGAAATGTTATTTAAACTATTAATTACACATTTATTAACAAAACAAGACCATAATCAACTCTTGGTGGCATCGGATACTCGCAATTTTAACTAGATTGGAACGGTTCGCCATTTGAAAATTTAGTTTAAAAATGGGAAAGCGAGGCTTAGTCGCGAATATACCAGTACGCTAATAACCACTATGCACACATCTTGTCGTTCGAATGGGACAAAAACCAAGTCCCGTATACACATTGCCATGCACGTAAAAGAACCCTATAAAGTTGGAATTTGCACAAATTTGGCTAAAAGGCAATATAAATTTGACCACATCATTGATGATCTTTGTTCTTTTTCATCATAGGAAGGATAGGGAGGAATATTGAAAAATTCACCATCTGTTAGTCCTGTGGAGGATTCCTCATACATCATTCAATATATCTTTACGAGACTTTGTATTAGCCAATAACATATAGCAGCTGTGTCATGTGTTAGAAGTTTCTCAGGTTGAGGAGGGTTGGATGGCCGAAAAGTTAGCGCGTGCACACTGTATCGTAAAGGTCTGTCATCGAATCAACTGGCGTGATTTCGATTCCCCTGTTGTATGTGACAAGGAGTAGGTTCGTCTGTCCAACCTTGTGGGTTTTCTCCGGGACCGTTGGTTTCCTCCCACTGTTAAAGACCCCTACGCGCAAACAAATTATTGAAATAAATTTGAAACATATAATAGCCCTGAAATGACCTAGTTTGTGTTGAGTGGAGGTAAACCACATCTCTCTCCCTCTCTCTCTCTCTTTCTCATCAGGTTGAATGATTGAGTCTTATTGTTTCCATTTCAGATATTAGAATGGGTCGAGTATTTTTACATCATATTGGTGGAACAAGGTTGTTCTCATGTGCCAGCTGTGACACACCTCTAACCAACAGAGCTGAGTTGATATCCACCAGATTCACAGGTACATGTATTTAAAATATAGCGGGGTGGTGGGTGGAGCTTGCCGAGTTGTATTAGATCTGTCATTGAGTTCTGTTGCATGGTTTGAACGAGAGAACCATTAGGGTCTCCTGGCTCGTCTTGTGAGTTTTATCTTGGTCCTCCAGTTTCCTCCAACTGCATAAGCGATTTTGTTGTTCTTAGTGTATAATGTCCGCTTCCACCGAATATGATATGGCAGACAAAGCTTTATTTTTCATTTTGATTATCTTAGTACACGCGCAGAAGTCTCTCCTGTGGGAGGAAACCGGAGTACCTGGAGTAAACCAACGAGGTTTAGAAGGCGCCCCCATGTCTCAGCTACAAATGTTCACACCAGGGATCGAAACCACAACCGCAAGCCAGAGGTGACCAGCCGACTAGAAGTCGAAGCGCGGCACTCTAGACCACTAGGCCGTCCCAACCCCCATTTATGCTAGTCCTGAAATAATCTAGTTTGTGTTGAGTGGATGTTAAGCCCAATATCTCCGCAACCTGCATGATAACCTTTAAGAGGCATTAAGTAACTGGATAGAGCAATAAACTATGACACATACTTATGGAAGAACAATTACTGATTTATTTAGGCAACGTTGAGAGAATACTCTTCAAAATGTCGCCTAAATAAATCAGTAATTGTTCTTCCATAAGTATGTGTTATAGTTCATTAACCTGCATGATATCCTTAACCGGTATTATCTCCCAAGCAGCCTAATCTTTTCCCAAACTAGTCTGATCTCCTTATCCCCAGCATAATTCCCCCTATCTGGCATGATCTCTTGCAGACCCCGGCTTGCTACTCCGACTGGGCTAATACAGGTGGATAGTCTGATCTCCACCTCAACTGGCATGAAAATAGATGACAACCTGCTGCTGAGCCCAAAATGTGTAAAGATGTCCCATGCTGCATGGACATAAGGGAGCCACGGTGGCTAAGTGGGTAAGACGCTGGCCTGCTAGCCTGGAGGTCACGTGTTCAATCCCTGCATTGGCTGAGAAAGTTCATTGGGATTTTCCAACGTGGTTTCCCCTTGCCAATGGTGCAGGACGTAGGGCCTGACAAGGACAGCTGTCTAGTCGTTCGGAGGATATGAAAAACCGCAGTCCTATGTATACATTGGTGTGCATGGTTAAGATCCCTTGGAAGTTGGAAATCGATATAAGAGTAGGCCATATTGCCGCTGCCCGGGTAAAATCTTCTTCATAGCAAACTTCTTGGCGTATACATGCCTGTCTACATTAGCCCAGTATACATGTAGGAGCAGAACACAATTCCGTACCCCAAATTTTGCTCTCGTATCACATGAAATAATTTACTCATGACATGTACATGTATATTGATTTATATTTTTTAAGGTGCAACTGGAAGAGCCTTTCTATTCAACAAAGTTGTAAACCTGAATTTTAGCGAGGTTCAAGATCGCGTCATGTTGACCGGACGTCACATGGTTCGTGATGTCTCGTGTAAAAACTGTGACTCTAAATTAGGATGGATTTACGAGTTTGCAACGGAAGAAAATCAGAGATACAAAGAAGGAAGAGTCATCTTGGAACGAGCCTTGGTCACAGAAAGCGAAGGATTTGAAGAACCCATTCAAAATGACAGTTGATCATACTAGGAGAAATTGTAAATATTCCAAGTTAAAACGACACTCACATTCGAGTGTTCATCCGTTCCGATCTTCATTCCACTCTATTTGGTTTGGTTTCCATGCCGATTATGATAAATGAAGTAAGCAGTTCTGGTCAGAGATTTAGAAATTTGAATATTCAGATGTATGTTAAGAAAACATTTTAAATTCTCTGTATACGTGTGGCTGTGAATACGGATGTACACTTAGCCCGTCTGCTTGTGCTCTTCAGGTTTTGATTTGAGGTGTTCAAAAATTCATATGTACATTTATGGATATATTGTCACTAATCCTTAATGTATGGATATATTGTCACCGATTCGCAATAATCTAACTTGGAGAGCTAGGATTTCTGTATATATTTGCCCAGTGAGCAAAGGAATTTAAAGGCGTTGGTTACTTTTGAGATAATCTGGCAATTTTATTATCTCCCTTGTCATGTTGTTAATCACAGGCCTTCATGTGAGCAAATTCAAGAATCTCTCTCTTAAAATTAATTATTAAAACCGCTGATCATTAGGCTGACCTTAAAAATATCTTTGTTTCGCCAAACCCGACCCACAATCGAGGAGAAGGGTCGGTAGGTCGGGGTTTTTTTTCAGATTTTTTTTTAAAGAGCTAATTTGACAGCTTGATAATTTTCTGGGGGGAAACATTCGTCTTTTTTTTATTGTCAAACAAATCAATGAGTATGACATCGGGATTTTTCGTGATGCACGACTCCGAGACTCGCACACGATTTGCCACGAACTCTAAGTGTGAAACCCCTTCAACACGTTTTTAACGATTGTGCCTTCATTTTTCTCGAAAACGGATATTGAAAATATCTTTGTCATGTTTAAAACGACGCCCCACAGACGTAGAGGCAGAATCATTTCGTGGGAATGGACGTGCTTTCGTCTGCAACCATTTTGTTGAGAAGCGACACCTATGACGCTTTCGTCTTGATCAACCAGTTTCAATAATGAATCAAACCATAGCCATAGTAAAGGGAAATAACTCTCGTGATATATTTCAGGTTGACACACAAAATAAAATAAAAAGATCGCGGAAAAGTGCAATAAAATAATTTAAGTCGGGGGTGGTTTTAGTTAGTCGGTCGCGTTAGGCGAAACAAAGATATTTTTAAGGTCAGCATTATTTTAAGGAATTTTTGATAGGGTTTCGATCAGTAATGTGTGGTATGTGATTGGTTGATTCAAAAATATCTAACCAACCAATCTGGTATACAGAAAACTTTTTGTCCCCACCTTTCGAAGCAAGCAGGGGACTATTAAAATGGGTTCGTGTCTGTCTGTCTGTCCGTCACACTTTTTGGAACTCAATAACTCTCCTTCTAGCTCAACTAGAATGTTCAAACTTGGTGTATGCGTTCATTAGGTGAATGCCTTGATGGAGTTCGATGGTGAACATTGTCTGCTTATGGTAAGCAGAGATAAGCAATTTGATTGGTTGATGCTTTTAGGCACGATAACTTTGGTTATAATCAAGTGAGAGCTATGAAACTTCGAGTATAGATTCATTATATCATTACCTTGACTATGTTTGATGAGAATTTTCTGCTTAGGCTAAGGAGCGATAAGCAATTTGTTTGGTCAAGACTTTGGAACATAACAACTATGCTTTTAATTGAGGTAGAATGTTTAAACTTGATGTTGATGTTCATTAGGTGAATGTCTTCACAGAGTTCAATGATTAACATTTCCCGCTAAAGCTATGCTAAGCAATTTCTTTGACTTTGATTCTATTTGATAGAGAGTGATGAATGTTAGTGTATGGTTGATAATCAGTTTGATTGCTCGATACTTTTGAAAAAGATAAACATGCAATTATTTCGGGATTTCGGCGGGGGACATCAGCCTAACTGTTGGCTTGATCTCATTAGCATGACTTTACATGTTAATGAGTTTACTAACCGAATACACAGAACGCAAATAACATACATAAAGTTTAAATTCGAAATCTGTTGTCATTTGAGAGGTTCTGAATCCCTTTCTTTATTATTATTATTATTATTTTGGTGTATTTCTATAGCGCACCTTTCACAAAGTGCTCAGATGCGCTTTACAATTCAATAAAATTATAAAATGCAGATAGACAATATGATAAAAACTAATTGGAATAACAAAAAAAACAATAAATTGGCTAACATTAAAAATATCACAATTATAATAGCGTTAAAGAAATAAAAATTAAGTTATAAAGTCTGTAGTAAAGTTCAATGAAATGCTTTAGTAAATAAAAAAGTTTTTAGATTAGATTTAAAAGTCTGAAGTGATTCACGACTTCTTACTTATAGTGGTAATATATTTCATAGTTTAGGAGCTTTAATTCTATTGGAATATTGTGAAAGTTGAATCTCTAAAATGAATATCAGTCCACAATTTGGTTCAGTTTTGTTCACTGATACATGTCCTTAGAAACAGCCTTAAACAGACTACAAATAGTGCAAAATAATGCTGCATGTCTCGTAACTAAAACACGCAAATTTTATCATATATCAGCTAAGTTACAGAAACTCCATTGGCTTCCAGTTCGAGCGAGGGTTCAATTTAAAGCTCTTGTGAATGTGTTTAAATCAATTTATTCTGACACCGCACCCAGTTATTTAAAAGAACTCTTTGATTTCTATACTCCCCGGCGATCCAACCTTCGTTCTTCAAGTGGTCGTAGCATATTGAGGATCCCCAAATATAATAAGCGCTCTGGTGAATATGCTTTCTCCGTCAGAGCAGCTAAAATGTGGAATGATCTTCCAAAAACTCTTTGTTGAGAGTCCTCTTCCATCCAGAGCGTTAAGACTAACTTAAAAACATACTTATTTCAAAAATGTTTTTGAACTGTTTTATTGTGAATGCGCTTAGAAACACTCATGTGTAATGAAGCGCTATATAAATCGAACAATAATAATTGTATTTTGGGATTTATGAGAAATTGAATGTGTATGGGCTTGAGCATTCTCTCCCATATCAACGTGAAGGCCTGTGAACACTATATTTGTTTGGTTTAATAATACCCTACTTGTAACCTTTCTATTCTTGATATTTCTGAATTCTGTTTGCGTGTCTTAATTTTATTTGTTGATTTCAGTAGTATCATGTGTTGTTATTATTATTATTATTATTATTATGATATTCAATGCCATAAACAGTTTGGCAATTAGAAATAGATAACTATCTTCTTTGATTGACATTTAGTAAATGAACATATTAACACAAGGTACAAGGCATGATTGATAAAGACAAGAGTATCCTTGTCGAAATGGCGCTTAGTGTTAAACTCAGTAATTGTGTATCCATAAAATTGTACCTTTTAATAAATAACCATGTTTTTGACTAGACTTTAAAATCTGTCCAACACACAGGTTGACCTGAATAAAGTTTAGGGCTCAGGTTAGTTATTAGACTGAATAATCCAGCTTTGGATATGTGGCGTACAAACATGTGTGTCTGTGACTGGATTATTTTAGCACACTAACCAAGCTATTACAGGAGTTATTTCCCTTGTCCAAGAGTTATTTCCCTTTGGATACAATGCCATTTCATTGTTATTGTTTCATGATGAAGTCACTTATGCCCTCCCCTCCTTGTTATTTTGTGAATCATTTCTGTTGTGATAAATATTTTTGGATAATTAGAATACACTGTAAAAGTCACCCATTGAATAAAATAAACTAATATTTGAAATAAATGAAATTAAACCAGGATTAACATCTTATTTTTTTTGCACACTTCATAGAGTGTGCTGGAGGAGAGAGAGAGAAATGGGGTTTAACGTCCACTTGACACAAACTAAGTCATTTTGGGACTAACATATGGTTTTAATCTTATTTCAATAATTTGCTTGCGCGTAGAGGTCTTTAACAGTGGGAGGATACTGGAGGACCTGGAGAAAACCCACGAGGTTGGACAGGCGACCCTACTCCTTGTCACATACAACCGCTGATTCGAAACCACGCCAGATGACTCAGTGACGGGCCTTATGATACAGCGCGCGCGTGATAATCATTCGGCCATCCCCCAGCTGGAGGTTAGCGTGTGCGCGCTGTATCATAAAGACTGTCATTAAGTCACCTGGTGTGGTTTTGAATCCCTGACAAGGAGTAGGGTCGCCTGTCCAACCTCGTGGGTTTTCTCTGGGTCCTCCTGTTTCCTCCCACTGCTAAAGACCCCTATGCACAAACGAATTATTGAAATAAAATTAAACCATATGTTAGTCCTGAAATTACCTAGTTTGTGTCGAGTGGGCGTTAAACCCCATTTCTCTCTCTCATGGTGGCTAAGTGGGTAAGACGCTGGCTCGCTAGCCTGAGGTCGGGTGTTCGATCCCTGCATTGGCCGAGAGAGTTCATCCAGATTTTCCGGTGTGGTTCTCCCTTGTCAGTGATGCAGGACGGAGGGGCTGACAAGGAAAGCTGTCTAGTCGTTCGGATGGGACGAAAAACTGAGGTCCCATGTACACACTGGCGTGCATGTAAAAGATCCCTTGGCAGTTGGAATTCGATATAAGAGTAGGCGATAGTGCCACTGCCCGGGCAAAATTTCCCTCATAGCACACTGTATGGCGTATGCCCGTCTTCATTAGCCCAGGTTAGGAGCAGAACAGTAGGACGTTAAACTCCATTTCATTTCATTTCTCTCTCCTTCCTTTACTCGTTGAGCCACTGTGGCTCTAAGTTGAAGTGAACCTGTGAAGACAGTTAATTACATAAAGATAGATCAAGATCTTAAAGCATTCGCGGGGATCAC